GTCATAGTTCACATATAGAATAAAATGTAATACGATTTGAAGAAACAAATCTAATCCAATAAATCATCAAATGAAAACTAGTAGAAACTAAAATCTTCTGTTTCAGTCATGCTGGTTGTAATGGTGATCTTCAACCAGGAAGATGCCAACTTAAACAGCTTCAACGCGCAGATGGCCCCCAACCCTTTGCTCCGCTATGACGTGGTTGGTGTTAAGAATTATATTCCGAAGACTTTTAAAAGTACGGCTCACAGTTTGGAAAGAAAATGATAGTATTTTCAGCGTGTCATAGTTCACATATAGAATAAAATGTAATACGATTTGAAGAAGCAAATCTGATCCAATAAATTAGCAAATGAAAACTAGTAGAAACTAAAATCTTCTGTTTCAGTCATACTGGTTGTAATGGTGATCTTCAACCAGGAAGATGCCAACTTAAACAGCTTCAACGCGCAGATGGCCCCCAACCCTTTGCTCCGCTATGACGTGGTTGGTGTTAAGAATTATATTCCGAAGACTTTTAAAAGTACGGCTCACAGTTTGGAAAGAAAATGATAGTATTTTCAGCGTGTCATAGTTCACATATAGAATAAAATGTAATACGATTTGAAGAAACAAATCTAATCCAATAAATCATCAAATGAAAACTAGTAGAAACTAAAATCTTTTGTTTCAGTCATGCTGGTTGTAATGGTGATCTTCAACCAGGGAGGGGCCAACTTGAACAGCTTCAACGCGCAGATGGCCCCCAACCCTTTGCTCCGCTATGACATGGTTAGTGTTAAGATTTTTAGAAGATTTTTAAAAGTACGGCTCACAGTTTGGAAAGAAAATGATAGTATTTTCAGCGTGTCATAGTTCACATATAGAATAAAATGTAATACGATTTGAAGAAACAAATCTAATCCAATAAATCATCAAATGAAAACTAGTAGAAACTAAAATCTTCTGTTTCAGTCATACTGGTTGTAATGGTGATCTTCAACCAGGAAGATGCCAACTTAAACAGCTTCAACCCGCAGATGGCCCCCCAACCCCTTTGCTCCGCTATGACGTGGTTAGTGTGAAGAATTATATTCCGAAGATATTCAAAAAGTATGGCTCACAGTTTTGGAAAAGAAAAATGATAGTATTTTTCAGCGTGTCATAGTTCACATATAGAATAAAATGTAATACGATTTGAAGAAACAAATCTAATCCAATAAATTAGCAAATGAAAACTAGAAGAAACTAAAATCTTTTGTTTCAGTCATTCTGGTTGTGATGGTGATCTTCAACCAGGGAGGAGCCAACTTGAACAGCTTCAACCCGCAAATGGCTCCCAACCCTTTGCTCCGCTACGACTTCACGCGACCAGGTTAGTGTGAAGAAATTTATATATAATTTTCGAAAGAGCACAGCTCAAAGTCTTCTGTCAAATCTGAATTTCTAAGATCTGACGGAATCCATTTCTATTTCGTTTCAGCAATGTTCGTCGGGATGGTGATTGCTCACCTTCGAGAAAAAAATCGTCTTTCCTTCGCGTAAATTTATGGACGAAGAAAACAACAGGTAAAATTTTTATTTTACGCAGCAGAAAAATATCAAATATTTTTTTAATTCTTGCTTGGATTGTGATTCAATGTCTTAGACAGGGCCTGAAAATAAGTATTTTTTCTTTCGCTGGCTCGGAAACAGAAGTAAAATGTGGAATTCTCCATCAAATTTGTTAGGCAAAACGACAAAAGTCCCTGTTTAGGGAGATGTTTCCGAACGAAAATGAGTAAAAAAAATTCCAGGGCACAGCTCTGTTTCAGAGAACTCATAATGTAAATCATTTTTCCGATTTCGATGTTTGTTGTTATTTTTTCTGAAAAGTTTATTTGCAGCATGACCGGCGTCTTGCGCTGGAACCAAATGTTCTTCGAAGGCTTCCAATGGTTTCGACGGCACAAATGGTTTCAATAGGGTCGTCGGTCGGGAAATTTCGAGACGATTCGTAATTTTCTCTCACCTTCCACGGCCGTGTCTTTGACGGGAGGGTAGTATCTAGGTTCGAATTCTTTTGTTTTTTTTCTAGAAAATTTGATTCACGGAAGTAGTGAGAATCAAATTTATTACTTCACTAATTTCTTTTTCTCAGGACTTCGCTCGAAACTCCAGTTGCAACGAAACGACGACGTCAAAGATGGAAGCGTCCCAAGCAAAGAAGAAAAAAATAAATTTTTGCTGTTCAGAAGTTTTTCAATTCTATTTCAGGTTCATTATTTTTGCAAACTTTGTCGATTCTCGAAACTATTCAAAAAGTTATTGTAAAAATTGTCTTTGTTTTTTTCAACTTTTTCACGTTCTTCAACTTCTTTTTACAATATTCTTCTGAGGTGATGAAAAATAATTTATATATAATTTTTCCTTCTTTCATTTTATTCCATCTCTTTGCAAAACTTCCAAAAATTTGTATTTTTTAGTTGTTCGTTACTATTTTTTTCATTGATAAATTCATCGTCATTTGAATTCACATCCGTTTTTTATTCCGTTTGAATCAGAATTTCGCCAACGACTCCTCTGAGCGTGTCTTCAATTTAAAATCAAGGCCCTTATTGTTGAACTTTTCTGTAACCGAATTCGAAAAGACAGAATATGAGCTCGGTCTCTGATTTGTAAAGCTCCACAATTAAGTCATGACCTTGGAGAATGAAGAAATCTGACATCTTTTTTTTTGTAGAAAATCGTTTAATTTTTCGATGTTGTTGGAAAACGCTGTTAAGGTTCGAAAGTTTGTGGATCAAGTTTTTTTGATTCGAATGTGGAAAGTAATCCATGCGCAAGAATCAGAAAAACGCCTTTGGAAACAAATCAAGCCCACGTAAAAGGTTTCAAATTATTGGAAAAAGATTAAGAATTGTGTGATGGTAATCTAAATTTTCTGTGAAATATTCTTTGAAAACTCCTTTGTTGGGCTCAGCCGACAAAAAACAATTTTCTTGCAGAAGGAAATCGACTTTATACTCTTCTCTCTCGATCTTCTGCCAGAAGTGTTTTTTTTTAACATCAAGTTTCTCAGAGAGCGCGCTTTGATGTGAGATGCGGTAGGCTCACAGCGGGACTCCAGTCACTTCTTATATTTCCCGTGTACGCAACTTTTCCTTGTTTTAAGAGTTTTTCGATGAATTAAGAAGCTAGATTCTTGTTATGGAGAGATTAAAATTTTTATTTTTTGAGCTTTTCCGGCGATTTTTTTTCGTCCAACGTTCCCGCGACTTCTTCTGTATCATTGGGTGTCGTACTGATTTCATCGAAAATCTCAGTTTTTGAAGCCTTCAATTTTTCCTTTGTCGTTTTAAGTAATAAAATCTAACACTTAGACGCGTTCGAAAGATTTGTTTCTCGGAAACTAAAACAAATTCTCTATCTGCCTCCTCTACTTGTTTATGATACCATCTATACCTCCACAGCAGCCAAATCCCCCGCTTTTCTCAATGCTTTCTTTTCTAACCGCAAGTTGGAGAGCTATGAAATTCTTTCCATCTTTTCATGCTTTAGGTTTTGCCGTGCATCCTGATTTTACACTTGTTAACGTTCATAACTTTAATTCAAAATGTTCTGACTTTCTCCTTGTGGTTTGGAATACATCTTCACTCTTCAGAAACATCTTTGACTTCAGCGCCTGAAAATGAAGTTGAATGAAAAAAATCAGGTTTTGAAATCATAGATGTACTAAAAAGTGATTGACGAAAAATCGCGTCGGCTGAATTTGTCAGACTTCAATATTTTTTTAATTTTTTTAATTTTCGATAGTTTTATGAACGCCGCTCAAGCGGTACAAAGGCGTAAGAAGAAGAAGAAGAATCATTCTGTTTTAAGAAAAAAATCAAGTTTTTAGGGTTTAGTTAAATTCGAAAAATGCCAAGAAGTGTCACAAGAGAACTTTTTAGAAAGATTTCCTTTTTGAAGTATGCGATGTAGCTTTTTCTTCCTCCCTAGACTTTCGAAAACTTGAAAAGGTTGAAAAAAGTCAGCGATGATATAGGTTGATGAGGACGGGAAAAAGGACGAAACTTTTTCTAGCTTTCAAGATTGATCGAAAAGAGCCGTTTTTCTTCAAATAACCCATTTTTATCAGCGGGAAAGATACCTGTTTGTTCGGAATTGCAGTGGAGCTTCGAGGAAGGACCTGAAATTTTCGGTGATTGTTATCTGAAACCAAATACCCTATTCGCAATTTCTTGAAACGGTCTGGTCTGTCTTTTTTTTACACACGTTCGTGGAAATACAAAAAATGTACGCAAAAAACGGAGTGGCAAAAGAAAATGAGACTATTTCAAGTGTTTGGGTTTGCTCAGTTTCGAATTAAAGACCGTAAGCAAAAAAGTGAAAAATTATTATTCAGCAGAATATATTTTTTATGTTCTTCTGTATCTGCATCTTTTACACACTGCCAAAGTCGGAAGTGCGGAGAAAGGATGCAAAAAGGATGCTGAAAGTGCAGCCATTGATTTCCGATATTATTACTATAGCACATTCCGGTTCATAGACAATCTCTGGTAAGTATTATTCTCAATTGAAAAAATTTTATTTTCTCAAATGTGTCCAAAAAGGGCGGATTAAAGTCGATGAAAGGACAAAAAAACGGTGATAAGGGAAAACCGTTGCCACCCATTCAGGAACAATGAATGGAAACCTTTTGCACCCATAACGAACGCACAAAGGGCCCGTGAAGGGTCCTTCCAACGTTTCCTAGGTTCAAAGTTTTTTTCCTACAATGTACAGGGGTGGGCATAATTATTGCACGAACTTATAACCTTCATAACTCAGAGTCAAAAGTATTTCAGATAAAGTTTATAACTTACTTTTTTTCAATAAGGTATCAAAGATAACACATGCAAAAAAATGTTTCGTATCGGCCCTCTTTGGCTTCAGTTACGGCCAAAAAGACCCTCATTGATCGTGTTGGCCTCTGGACGCAGGTGTCTGTCGTAGATTTAGTCTTCGATCTTGAGAAAGGAAAATTTTATAGTTCCCAGATTTGAGAGAGGTCTCAAGCAGGCCTCTGTTGTCAAGTAGGGTCAGAAAGAATAGTCGAGAATTTTTGCTCCGGTGAGCAGAAAAACTTTTCTTTGAACTCGATGAAGCCGCGATTATCAATCTTAAACAGGCCTTTTTCGATCGAAGCGGTATGAATGAGCGCAGAACCTTCTCGAAAAATCGAACGGTTTTTTCTTGAATGCGAATAAGCCAATAGAAGCATGTGCTTTTCTAAAACGATGTATAGATGCGAACCGGCATCAACTTGGACTGAAAATTTGAGAGGACTTAGCAAAATTGTGCTTTCACATGATGCATCGGCTAAAAGCACGGCTGCTTCTGAATGAAAAGCCATGTGAAGTGACCCGGCTCATTTTTTGCTACTTGGTGGTCTTGTGTAATTACACAGAAATTCCTGAGACTGGATACCTCTCAGAGGTTGAAGCGCTACTGCTCGAAGAACATCTAGTTCTAATTTAGAAGTTGCGCGTCCGAGTGAATATGACTTTGCTCTAGATTGTTTATTGATATTTGCTGGAGCGATAGAGAGCGGCCGTTTTTTTGGTACAAAATCTTTTAGGCCCCACCTTATTTTTGACCATTGTTTTCACAGTTTCCCTCATGGCCCCACGTCGGAAAGCCGTGAAATACATAGCTACCAGGGAACGTTTTACCCCGGTTGAACTTTTGCTGAAACTTTGCTGAAGTGTGCTTTAGGGACCCCCTGATTCCAGAACAGAAAGAAAAGTTCTCGCAATAGATCTCGTTTTCGAGTTAGGACACTTCAAAAGCCCGAAATATCGCTTTTTTGGCCTAATTTGCGTATTTCGCACACTTTGAAGCTTCATAACTCGGAAACAAGATCTATTGCGAGACCTTTTCTTCTTGATCTGCAATCAGCGGGTCCTAAAGTACACTTCGGCAAAGTTTCAGCAAAAGTTCAACCGGGGGGTAAAAAACGTTCCCTAGTTAGCCTCGAAAATCGACTGTTTCTCTTCCAGGTTTTCTCCAAAAAGTTGAAGTGAGCAAAAGTCACAGGTCTTTTTACTAGATGGTAGTCGGAGGTCCTAGAAAGCTTCTTAAAAAAACTATCAGTCAACTGCTCAATTCTATGGTCTATGAAAAAAATTAGCGCGTAGCCCTGACGCTTTTTCAGCAACACTTAACTGCGAATATCGAAGAACGGTATGTTTTGGAGGCCGCCATTCCCCAGAACTGAATATTCCACAGTCATTTTTAGAACATTATCAGTAGACAACCTATTGCTCAAAAACTATACATTTGGAACAAAAATTTGATTCAAGAAAGAAAAAGTTACAGCGCTCGGAAAATCCGTGCAATAATTATGCCCACCCCTGTAGATTCCCCTAGAAAACTAAAAATCACAAAAACACTAATTTCTATACCGCGCCCCTAGTGCGATAGGCCACTGATCACAAGCGTTTTTATTCACACATTCGACAACTTTAGTGGTCACTGAACGTAAAAACCCTGAAGTGGCCTCCCAGATATTTTTCATTTTGGAAACACTGTGACCGGTATATACTTTAAAATGCTCTAATAGTTTTTTCATACTCACCGGCTCCAGGACTGCTAGCCCTTTTCCTGGCCTCTCTTTCGGTCGGCTCTGGTTCTGGTCTTGCTTTTCTTCTGAGGGCCTCTAAAAACTTTTCGATGACAAACCGAGCTTTCCCAAGAGTAAAAAAACATAAAGACAAAATTGAGCAGTCGATTCCTTATTTGAGAGCTATCAGGTTTCTAAAAAAATAATGAGCGTTTTTAAGTGCAATTCGTTTCAACATAATAACGAAATGAGTGAAGATACTCTTAAAAGGTATGCTTCATTTTTATCCGAAGTCCGACACTCAAATTTTGAATTAGGCGCGGTCTTCTTAGTTTTTTTCGTCAAAAAAGTAATGGAATGTTTAGATCTAATAGTAGGTGCAAAAAGCCAAGTTCAAATTGTTCAGCGGATGAAAGAGAGCCGCTTCTTGATTTTCTGGTGAGAGATTTTTGCAACTAGCAGAAAATGGTGTTTGGGGGTCTATTTTGGAAACACCGTATGCATATCTTAACGTTTGTCCTGTTGGTCCACTGGTTCAAATTACTTTTTATGGAGATTCAAGGTAGCGATTTGACGAGAACCCGGAGCCTACCAATACACTAGACCTTCACAAATACACCAAAAGGACAGCTGGTCTTCTTTTTGGTTGTGTGGCTTTGAAGGCAGTTTAGACACTCTACTGGGGTTGAAATACTGTAGAATTTTTCATTAAATTTTTGTTGGATCAATATTTCACCGGAGGCGTCAATAGAAGCGTAAAACAAATTTCTCGTGGCGCGGTGAGTGAGAATTCCGGGGATTGTGAGGTTAGTCGCTTCAATTAATTTCGTGGCTTAGAAACACCCTATTTTCCGCTTTCATCTATTTTTCTAGAACAAAGATAGAAATATGAGAAATACCAAACTGTGGTGCTGATTATGAAGTTGTTTGGCATGGATTGAAAAAACTCAATTCGAAACATCTTCAAAGCTCTAGTCACCGTCAGGAAATTGAATTTTATTGGTTGACTGAACAAAAGGACAAATGATGAACATTTTTAAAAATAGAGACAAAATTTTTCTTACTATTTGTCATTCAAAAAAATTCATACCAAAAATGCGACCACATAAGCAATTTTTCGGTAGTTTTTCTAATAAAAATACATAGTTAACATAGCCGAATTGTATATCAAACGATGCGTAAGAACACGTTCTTTCTAAAAATTCTTCCGAAAAATATACTCTTATCAGAGAATTACTAGCGAACTAATAAATGACTCATTATTTTTTTACCAACCTAATATATGTGAACTTTTGAAAAAGCGTGATTTCATTTCCAAGCCTTTTCAATTTTTTTATTGCTTTGAAAAGCATTTCGCGATCAAAAACTCACGAATAACACATGATTTGAAAGTTTCTATGACAAAAAGAACTTTGAAGAAAAACAGAAAAATTGGAATTAAAAAGAAACGAAAAAAAAGCGAAAATCCAAAAAATGGCGAAGCGTGTTGTCCGTAGAGCAACTTCACTGCAAAAACGCCCTTTTGGCGGGAACTCAAACTTGTCTCTATCCGATTTAGAATAATTACTTACTTACTTAGTTACTTAGATGATCCATCTTCGCTTTCGACCTTTTATTGCCTTTTAGTGCCTTTTTATTGATCGAAGCGTGGACCACACGTTTTCCAGGAGATCTTATGCAATCGGTCATCCAGTGTTGTCGTCCTGGTTGACTGGTATTCTTGCGAAAAAAAGTTCCATCCGTGGTGTTGAACGTGTTATAGCATAATTGTGGATCTTATTATCCTTTTTGCCTTGCCAGGGCTAAAAAGACCGCCCATTCTGTTAGCAGAAGCAAGCCGAATTGCGTGACCGGTGTACTGTTAGCCGCCATAAATGGCGTTGCCTCCCCATCACCGCGTAGAGGTGGTACTTGAAGGGAATAATTGTTTCTCCGAAACTAGGAAGTTCTGCACGTTTTCAAATATACCGTCCGAGAAGCTATAAAGAGCTCTACAAAATGACTTATTTTTCTCCAAACCCATTTTTCACTCCCTCAAATTCTATAATATCTGAAAGAAAAGGGAATCCAAACCTTCCACTAGGGCCTCCATCACCTCATAACTTGTATATGTGGCACGTTCTTCTGAGCAATTGAGATATTGGAAAATCCTCTAAAATATTCTCACCAGAATAACTGATCTTGACGACGATTTTCAAAACGGGCAACACTTTTTTAACAATCACCTCCAATAAGTCCTGTCTGATCTGGAAAAAAAAACGCTTTTCAAAGGTTTTGAACAAAGTTTGAAAGGTCTTTTCCAGCCTGCGACAAAGGAAAAATTGGAAAAAGATAACTCGGCTTTTTATGGATACTTAAAGTGGCGAAAAAAGGGCTAAGTCAGAGCTGTGCGTTGGGCCAATGTTGATGGCCGAATCGGCCCAGAATCGTCGCAATAGCTAGGGACCGCAGCAAAAGTTTGAAAAAGTTTTTTTGAGTTTCTAAATGGCAGTGGTTGCTGCTTCAGTTTCCTATTCAATACAATTTAATTTTTTTGAAAAAGTTGGAAATCAAAAAAAGTTAGCGCCAAAATAGTAATGGAAAAAAACAATTTAGTGCTGAAAGATTAGATTTTTTTCACTTTGGGTCGTTTTTGAATTATTCTTTTGAAATGATAATTTTCAACGGCTGAATCTGATTTTTGAAAGTTATGAATAGTCAAAAATCAAATGTAATCTAACCCTAAGGTTAAAAAAAAAAGTAATTTTCTCATCAAAAACTAAAAAATGACCACTGCGGGCATCGAACTCGCGACCCCAAAATTGTATTACAACGCGTGTGCGCTGCTACCCCTACACCTCTCGAAGAGAGGAGGCTTTTCTTTTTCTTTTTCTTCTCGAATATGCTTGTGCAATCCCAAAAGAAGTTATTCCTAGAGATTAAGATCAAAATACCGTCTTTTTGGCGTTTTTCGTTCTTTTCAATTTTAGTTTCAAACTATAGATAGGGACCGCAAAGCCACGCCCCTTTTCGCGATAGAAAAAGTGGCTTTTTGGTTTTCAACTTTCATTTTGTTGTAGTTGCAAAATATGTGGAACTGGCTAATAAAATTTGACACACTTGTACAGAAAAAGCTTCCTCTTTCGTTTAAAAAAATTTTTCACGCTTTTTGATGCGTTCTCGCGGAATGTCGTACAAAAAAACGTGAATGGAACTAAAAAATTTTTGTCATTTTTTTGCTTTTTTTATGTGTTTTCAGGTCGAACGCACTTTTTCTTTTATATAATGATTTTTGATTCAAGTAACGGTAATTTTAAAACAATAAAAATAAAAAAATTCGTCTTTGCCAAACATTTTTAGGGAGTGCCGAAAGTCATAATTCGAAATATCGTTAATAAGCGAATATAATCGAGTTTTTGTTTTTTTCAAAAATTTAGACCATGTGCTTACTTAAATTTTTCTCTACAGCATCTGTGCTTGAAAAAGTTGTTTAATACACAAAAAATGCTCTTGAAACTAGATAATAAAAATTAGCGGCGTTTATCACACAGAAAGCGGTCGAACGCAGGTTTTTAAAACGATTATATACATTTATTAGTGAAAAATCTTTCAATTAAAAAGAATAAAAATAAAAAAATTCGTTTTCGCCAAAAATTTACGGGGCCGTTTTATTGCTGCGATCGTTAAACGAGGCAAAAAGCACTAAAAAAACAGTTTTTTTCGAAGTAAATTTCTACGAAAAAGTTTGAGTAGAGATTTGCGAACATATTCTGATAAAAAAATAGCTAAATTACTTCAAGTTTTTTTCTTTTTGAAATAGGCAATCTGTGCTATTCAAACGGCTCAAGGGTATGGCGGATGGAAACTCCCTTCGCTAGACCTAACAGCTTAGCGCAGCGCGTGCGCTGCGAACTTTCATTTTGAGGTCGCGAGTTCGATGCCCGCAAGCGTCAGTTTTTGTTTTCTGGAAAAATACCGACTTTTTCGGCAAACTAGCTGATGAGCATCATTTTAGCACTCTATTATGATTTGTTACATCATAATAGACCAGTATCAAAAACTTGTTCTAGAAGAAAAAAATCGAGAAAAAAATGTCAAAAATGGATAATACCAAAAATTTCAGTACTGAAAAATGGTGCGCGGCGCGCCATATTTTTTTCGTCATAACTTTTTTCATCCTCAATCTTTTTCGAAAAACTAAACGGTTCTGAGTTTTGAATCAAAACAGCTATCAAACCATACAAAGCTCAATGCTGAAAAAATTTTTTTGAAAATTCGTCTGCGGTCCCTAACTATAGATCAATAAACTTCTAGGCTACGCAAACATTTTCATTTTATTTTTTTAATTGATTGAAAATCGAATGAATATTATAATTTAAAAATAAACATAAGTGCATTCGACCGGAAAAATGAGATTTGTTTTAATGAAATTTTAGTTAGCATTTTTTCTGTGGCAGTGGTGGTCGTGTACATATGAAGTTACTCCGAACGCCTTGTCAGGGCTATTAGAGGTGTCCGCGAATGATTTACCCAGAAGTGGAAATATCCAGTGGCACCAGCGAGGAGGAACGGACATCACCACCTCTGCTGAAGTCAGGAGTAGACGCCCTGAACAACCTCTTCGCCAAGCACTTCTCTGCATACTGAAGGAAGTTTCAATCGCGGTACAATGAAAGGTATCAAAAACAATTATAATCCTGAAGATACTAAACCGACTGGAGAAAAAGCTCGACGACTTCCAACCGGTCTCGCAAGTCGGATTCTGCCGGAACTTCTGTTGCATAGACCACATTCACACCTTGACGCAAGTGGTGGAACTACTTCGGGAATACAAACTCCCTCTTAAAATAGACTTCGTCATCAATAATCAATATTTATTGGTTGTTTTAGTCAGAATCGACTAGGCGGTGAAAAAATTGCTCTTTTGAGCGGCACTAACACCGCCTTTGGCGAAAAAGAAGTCAAAACGTGTAGCCGATTGATTTGAAAGAATGGTTTTACGGTCCTTCTCCTCGCTCTTCCACGAGGAGATCCCTCAGTTTCGCGGGTACGGGCACGGCGGAGATGGTGGGGCTCGGGCACGGAAGCAGTGTACACTCTAGGGTAGCCTCGGCCGATTGAGAGAGCTACCACTTCGAGTGAAGAAATTACACGGAAAGTCGGTTACAAAAAAGCGTTCGACAGCGTCGAGATTAATGCCCCGTGACACTCGAAGGCGATAACTTACAAAGTCGACTCCTACGTCTACCTCGGAAAAGAAGTCAACGTATTTAACGTCCTGACGACTGAATTCGGAAGACGCAGAAGAGCATGTTGGGCAGCCTTGAACAACATCCGGGAAGTCACGAGTCAAATCAAGGACCCAAAGATCCGTGCTCACATTTTCGAAGTATCAGTCATCCCCGCCCTGTCCTACGGTTCCGAAGATTGGCCAGACACCAAGAAGACCGCCGCCGCCCTGAGAACTGCATACCGCGCACTGAAAAGAGCTTTTCTCGGCACCACCCGCTACCCACAATGGAAACAAAACCAGAGAAGCACAGACCTTCGGCAAATATCTGAAATCAGAGATCTCGAGAAGCATATCAGCCGCGGAAAACACCGATGGGCAGGACTCGTTATCAGAAGAACCGACGACCGTTGAAGCACAAGAGTAACGTCTTGGATTCCCAGAAACGCGAGGCGCACCCGTGAACGACCAGCAACCCGATGGGCAGACCAATTCAAGAAGAACAACAGCCGTCATGGACGCCACTGGATGACCGTCGCCAGAGACCGGGACGCATGGAGGACGTGTTGTTCGCGCTGACTAGGGGGAAAACTCGGCCATAGTAAGAAGATCATCAGCGAAGACGAACCATCAAAGTATCAAAGTAAATAAGTATTTTTTCTGTGAGTTCAAAATGAAAGATTTCACTAACATGCCCTGGAATTTGTATAAGTTTTTTTCAACTTTGCGCGACCTCACAAGATTAGGCTACGCAGGAATTTTAAGTTTTTTATCTCAAAATATTATTTCGCACCTAGAAAATAAAATGAAAAACTGCGCATTCGACTTGAAACTAAGTTAAAATTTCGAATCAAAAAAGCCGTTTCCGTTTTTTTTTACGACACTCTGCCGCTACGCTTCGAAAATCGAGTAAAAGTATACACTGCGTTCAATAAGGATAGGACCCCCTCGACTTCACCTTTTCTCGGCATTGTACGTAGTAAATAAATTTTTTTTAGATTTCTTGTTGATGAATTATGTTCATAGCACCTTCGCGAATTCTCAAAAAAAAAGTACATCGCCATTCCGACTACATGCAGAAAGAAAAGTTTTCCCTATTTTCGATATAAAATATTTTTGAACCTGGAATATATGAAAGGAAAACAGTAGAAAACTTGGAAACAAATAATATGAGAACAAAAAAACCACTCATCAAGAAAAGAAATTGACCAAAAAACGACCAATGAAAGTCAAAATTTCCAGGTGGTCCTATCATTCTTTAACGGTCGAAAACTCGTTTTTTCGATGGAATTTTCGTAGGAAAAGTGCTAGGATAATGAAAGTTTGCCTCTGGGGGTTATTTTGTACTCTGAATCGAATGGCACTTACAGCTTTTTCATATCTTTTCGTATTCTGCCGGAAAGTCCAAAATCAAGGGGGGTCCTATCCTTATTGAACGCAGTGTATGAGATTGTGAAGGAACGTTTTCTTTTTTTTTGTTTGATAGTTCCGCCAATTTTCCCCGTTTTCAGTTCAGTACTGCGCGCTTACGGAAACATCAAACACAAAATCTGAAAAAACCAGTGCATTTCACCATTGCGAAAAGGAGCGTGGCTTAACGGTCTCTAGCAATAGCAAAGTTTTTTTACCTCATTCCATAAATTACATCACATAACTTTCCTAAAAAACAAATTTTCGATCACTCACTTCCCCATTTACTCACTGTGAAAACTTCAAGACAAAAATGTTCGAAAAGTGGCAAATTTTCGACCGCGTTGCAACAGGCCAGCCCGGCTGGTTCAAAAAGTTTTCAAAAGTTCTAAAAAGTTCTATGTTCAAAACATGGGAGCTTAGCCTTCGAAACTTGAGAGAAAAGCAGTCATTTTCTAGATATTTTTGGAAAACCGTCCCACTTTTCACGTCGAAAAATACGTCGAATTTATACGTCGAAAAAAAAGGTTTCTGATTCGACTAGAATTGAAAAGCTCATGGAGTAGACTTACCCTCAGTTCTTCGAAGACTTTTTGGTCGCTTTTCGGGCAATACTGAAAGTTAAAAGCTATTTAAAAAAAAATTATTTTTCTAATAACTCTCTCATAGTTTTTAAAGAAGCTCTCTCCCAATATTTTCTTTTCGACAACAAACTCCCGCCAGGCCATCTCACAGATTTCGGTCTTCCTTATAGCGTCGGAGGCATCAACCTGAAATCCCCATTTTCACTATCTTCGAAATCTTCGGCAAACTACTGTAGTTTCAAGTTTGTAACCAATACTACTATACCTCATAATTGACTCTTCACTGCAGGTTCAACACGCTTTCTCTGTTATTCACGGCGTTTTTGTCAGTGGAAAAAAAAATGCAAAACCAAAATTTAATGGGGCGTGGTCGGAATCTCCGCCGTTCCCATGTGTCTTTATGGAAAAAAGGCGTAAGAAACAGATAATATTAAAGGCACATCAATGGGTCACAAAACAAATCTATTTCTAATTAACACACGTTCTCTGAGATTTTCGAATATACTTTGGCACAAGAAGTTTCAAGTTTGTTTTTTCGAGCTGAAATTCATGTCACATATACTATGCAACTTTTTTAACACATGACACCCGGTTTCGACAGGCTCCGCTCACTTTCAGGGTTATGGTAGAGAAAATACCGTAAAAAGCTAACTTTTTTCCTGGTCCAGCAAATCGGTTCAAACCAACTGTAACGCAAAGAACACGTCATTTGGAACATTTTTCATGTTGGAAACTACTCTGAAAAAATTTTTCTTCTTGTGGAAAAAAATCACTGAAAGTGGATAATTGACGATTTTCGAAGTTTTTGAGCTCTACTAAAACGGGGACCCCCGATGGCCTTGATTTTTATTTTTTTTAATCGACGTATTGAGGTCTTGGGTGTTCGAAAAAAATATCCCTATATTCAAGTTTTGAGTGTCGTAGTACATCACCATCTCAAAGAACGCGTCCAACTTGAAATCGGCCAAAACTTCAAAAATCCATAAATTCATTGAGAGTTTGATTTCAGTTGAGTTTTTGTTCTTGATGTACTAAAACCAACTTGTTTTCAACTTAGGACAGTAGAAAGTATAAAGCGAAAACTTGAAAAATTTTAATTTTCAAATTTTCGATTTTTGGACTTTTTTATTTTTCACCCAGCTTTTCCGTTTTTCAGCTCTGCTGAGTAGAGGACCCTAGAAATTTTATTTGATAAAATGATCAATCAGGTCTTGTTTAGTTCAGAAAAAAATTCCCGTCTTCAAGTTTTAAGTGGTGCAGTTGACCATCGAAGCGCCGAAGCTGGCGACCTCAAAATCGAGTGAAAAATGAAAAAAATTCATAAACTCAGTTTTTCTTTTTTTCGAAAGTGAAAGGTATTTTTTTCTTAAAACGTTTCTTATGCGCATATCACTGAAAAAATGCATTTTGCCTGTGAAAAAAAATATGAAATTTTTTCGTTTTTTTTCAAAATTCTCCACTTCGAGGTGCATTTCCCGGCCTGAGAAATTCCAGTGTTCGTTTTTCTGAATGAAACTTCTCTCATGTAATTTTTGGATCTTGCAGAGATGGGAAGGTCAAAAAATTGTTTCAAAATTCACTTGAAACTCTTAGAACAAAAGGGAGAATTTGTTCATAATCTCGTATTTCTGGACTTTTTCGATATCCTAATTGATAGTTTCTCGTGGCAAAAGGTTTGAAATTTTGTACTGAGCTCATTTTGATGCAATCCGGTAGACTCCAAAGAAACTTCAGCGTAAATCGTGTTAAGACCCACATATAACGCGGAAAGAGCGCTACCTAGTGTTTCAATCGGTCATTTTTGCTCAAAATTTCAGGAGATCTTTTTTTAATAACTGGGAAAATTGAAAAATGTTTTAAAAGTTTGTTCAAAAAAAAAATTAAATATTTCGAAAAACTACGCCTCATTGACGAGTACGAGTCTGGTCACCCCAAGTTTGCCATTCTCTTTAAATTGAGGCGTCCGCGCTGACCTGCCGTTTGTTTTTTGACATGCGCGCTGGTCTGCCGTATTTCTTTTGAGTACGTTGAACGCAGCGTGTGCCAGAGAGCCGCAGTGTATGCACACGACCCACTAAACTTTGTAGAAAAAATATGAGAGTGGAGTCCAGAAAAAACGCCGTGAATTCTTAAAATCAAGAAGTACAAAAAAATTATGTTTTGATTTCAATGAAATAAAAAACAGTGATATCATATGACGTCAGGATCGCGGACACGATTTTGGAGCCATTTCCTCTAACCATAAACGGGTTACGGTAGGCAGGATGTCACCTGCGTATCGAAGACTTGACGAATTTTCTCTAGGCAAATCGTATACCAGTCGATAGGTAATGCAATTTTAGAAATTTTTCCAATAAATCTCATCTTGGGTTACTGTAGAATTTTTCGAGATACGGTGTTTTTTGTGTTCGCGATTTCGGTTTTATGGTCACCCTACTCACAATAGTTGTTTGCCGTTAAAGTTACCTCTCAAACCACCTGCCTACCGTAACACGATTATGGTTGGAGGAAATGGTTCAAAAAATCGTGTCCGCAATCCTGACGTCATATGATAACACTGGTTGAAACTTCATTGGAATCAAAACATTTTTTTTTTCTGTACCCGCTGTTTTTGAGAAATTTTTGAGAATTACAGAGACAGCGTGTTTAAAAATTAAGAAAAAACTAACCAATGAAATATTTTTCGAAAGACATTTTCTTTGAAACGATGTCCTATTCCAAAAACATTTTTTTATTTCTTATAACCGTTTTTCTTTCAAAGAAAATTACCTTAGTCTGAGAAAAAAGTTCGTTCTCTTCACTCTGTAAATGAGACTTCAAGTTTATTTTCCGCAAAACGTGTCACAAACCGTTTCAATGAACGTTTCAAGGATTTCCTTGGCATCATTGTATTGCTTTATAACGTTATGGACGAAAAGCATATGCTGAAAAAAAAACCGAAATTGGTGATTTTAACTCCGAAAAAATGAAAGAAACAAGTATTCAGGCCTACAAATAATAAAAGTTTAGAAGGAATGGTTGCAGGTACAGAAAGAAGCTTAAAAAATTTTTCGACCAAATCATATAATATTGCTGAAGTGAATAAACTTACGTCCGCCCATTTTTTAATTTTTTTGCTGACCCTCTCGGAAACTTTCTGAAAAAAAAATATTTGAATGATTTCATTCGATGCCGTGAATACAACATACCTTGTTCTTCAGGCGGCACGCATGTTCCGCGTCCCTTATTTCCTCCAACTAGAAATCATAATAAACTTTTATTCAGAATAGAAACAAGCCTACAGTGCGCCATAAGTATAAGCCCCCTTATAAATGGCGCATTTACCGGAATTAGATACAAGGTGAAAATGTTCCGTCAGTGTGTACGATTGTTGAGCTGAGAAACTGTGGAGGGGTCCCTGTACGGGGTTTCATAAGGGACCTCTATAGGGACGTCTACTTATAGGGGGAGTGGGGTCTGACCACCACTTTTTGCAAGCTTGAGTAGCCTCTATGTGGGCTTGGTAAAAAGGTTTTTAGAAGAGATCCTAAGGTTGCCCCGATAGGGGCCACTCGGGAGTTTCTAAGATCGTCTCTTATTAATAATCCAATAATGCATAATCCACTGAACCACCGCAATACATGGGATGAGCATGACTGGCGACACCCCAGTCCCCCAAAAAAAGGTTTTTTTTTTCTAATCTGATGAATTTCATCCATATCAATGTCTAGAAGTAGAAGATTTTTGGAGGGGGTCTCATACTTCTGACGAGGCGTGTTTTGATGATTTTTCAGCTCGCGTTTACATATAAACTCAAGTTTATACGAGATCTTTCAAACACTAATTTCTTCCCGTACTCTCAACAATGGTTCGCTGACGGAATATTCTAAACTTATTTCTAATTTCCGAAAATGCGTAATTTATAGGGTTCCTATACGCGTGCTGTACTTAGGATTTCGAGAGTGGTCTCTACAGGGGCACTTCAAGGTTCCCCTTCAAGGACCATTTTACGAGCCCCTATAGAGGCCATTTAAGCTTGCAAAAGTTGTCCCTATAGGCGTTTCAGTTCGTGGTCCCTAAAGGGGACATTCTAGTTGATAAGTTTAATGAATTCTATGCATTTCCATGTGAAAAACTAAAAAAAAAATAAAAATGGACAGGTTCTTAACCCCTATAGAACAACCTTGATTTTACCCCTATAGGGACCACTTTTTCAGTCCCCATAGGAACGGTTTTTGCCGTAACCCCTATAGAGATCACTATGAAATTCTTAAGTATATGACAGAATAGTTCATAAAAATTTGCCACAGACGAAAATGGCCATCGAAAAATGAGTCGTTCAGCAAAGCTTAGAAAAAACGGCCGACACAAAAATAACCTGGTCAGAAGAGCCGTAAGAGTTTTCGAGTTGGGGTTGTTACAGAAATATATCGCTGCCGCTATTTTTCAGGTGATTCTGAGAGACTCTTTTTTCTGCAGCTGTATTATGATTCTTATTGCTATCGTTTAAAGCTATTCTTTCATGTACCTTGAAGTAGTAAAAACCATTTACTTCTTTTTATGAAGTCTTTGAATGAATTCTTCTGATAACCGAGAAGTTCAAGCGTGTTAATAATCTTGGCGTACGCAGAGAGAGAGATCATTATTTCTTTTTTTTTGTCGTATCCGCCAGAAATATTTCTGAAAATTACTATTACTGTGGTTGTATGAAGGGAAATGATAAACGCATATAGAAATAGTAAACGATGTGTAACACACTAATTGGAAAAACTTCTAATATTGTTATAGAAGATTTTTAAAGGGAATACTATTGCAATACAAATTTGAGACATTTACAATCGATTTTTAGGTAAAACATGGTAAACGAATTTACCGCTTACTTACAAACGATCCCTATGAATGAAAAACGACTCCAATTTGCCACCAGATACAATGGAAAATGAAGAAAGTTCGAAAAAAGCAAAAAATATGTTCTGAATATTGAATCACCAGTTGGGCCATATGAAAAAAACTTTTTTTTGCTTGGACAAAAAAAAATCAAACATTTTATAACTTCCAAAAAAAATTGGATGAATAAATTTATGCACAAATTCAGAAAACTTGCCAGATGAGAGAGGAAAATGAAACTCATAACTCGCAAAACTGAGGAAAATATAGAGAAAACTTGAAGATTTTAAAAACCCAGTGAAAACAGCAAATATTCGGGATAGAAACAAAGCGAAAAAGTTTACAGAAGGATAAAAATTGGGTGGGAAAAGGGCCAACCGACCGCAAATGTTGTTTAAACACTCATTGGATTACACCGGAAAAAACAGCGTCGCAAAATGAAAGAGGGTTTCTTTTGTAACGTTTCGATAAGCTCGGGCGAAGTCGGGATATCCGCTAAAAGGGCGATGAATGGAGCAAGTTTGAATCTACCTATTGATACCAAATAAACTTCATGGAGTCAATGAAAAAGTTGGGATGGGTCCATTCAAAGTCACGCTTGATAAAAAAAAATTGATGACTTCAGAAGCCATTTATGTTATCAACAAGTGCTGCTTATCAGTTAAGTCTAACTGATGGTTGTAAAAAAAACCAGTCCAAAAAGTAATTAACTATCTTTTCCTCGCTGATAAGCTACATTATGAACTTCAAACCAATTCGTTGAAAATGTATTGGGAAGTAAATAAAATCATGGAGAGTCGCAAAATGGGAATAAATTTTTTAAACGTTCTTAGGAAGTCTAAAAAACTCAATTTCGCTTGAATCAAACATTGTTTTTTTAATGGTTATTTAACATTTCATACATTCAGGTCAAAAAAATCCTTCTTCAAAAAGCTCTAATTCTGATTAATGAAAAAATGCGGCCTATTTCAGAAAAATCGCAAACTAAAACATCCTTTCTTGTAAGGATAAAAAAAGCATTAAAAATATGAAATAAGGTAATTAACAGGCAATCTTTGAAAGAAATCGGATCAGCGATTGATGGGGGCCATTGTGGTGTAACGCCGGCAAACTCTCGCTATCATTAATCTGATGGGTGAGCAGATGTTCTTCAGAGGACATTCGCTCTTTCTTTTTGCAGCCACCTCCCTCGCGGTTAAGCCACAGAAACGATCTGCCTGGAGGCCTTTCTTTATATTTTACTTTACTCTACTTTTTTCTATGCATTTTTGAACCGAGATATGAATTTTTGAAGTTTCAAATGACAAAAGTTATCCTAAATAAAGGTAAGTTGATATTTCGAGTGCCCTATGGGCTCTATGGGTTGTTCCGGTTATCGAATGGTTCTCTATGAGAGAAGACTCTCTAAAAACGATAAAAACACCCGATTCTGAGCATTTTGAGCCGAGATATTAGTTTTGAAGTTTCAAATGACAAAAAAACCACAAATAATAAAAAATCGATTATAAGAGGTAGCCTCATTTTACTTTGCGGTTAGGATTTCAATGAAAATTGGACAGAACACTCCTTGATTTGCTGGAAAAAGACTCTGTAAGTCTCAACCTGCATATCTTCCCCATTTTTGAGAAAAGACGCCTCAAATTTATAGAAAACCCTCAAATTTGATTAAGTGGTTGTTTTGCGACTTCAGGCTTTCATTTCTCAAAAACTAAGAAGTTTTGCAATTTGAGACTCTCAGGATCTTTATCTGTTACATCAAGGAGGGTTCCGGCAGATTTAAAAAAAATTCCCCACCGCGAAAGTGAAATGACCTTTCTTGTAAGTTCCTAGGTCTCAGAAAAGTTGACCAAAATGCCTCGGATATAGCTAGAACTTATGAGAAGAGCTGCTAGACAAGAAATACATGAAAAAGCAAAAAGGTCCAAAAAATATTCAGAAGAGACATTTTAGACAATCGTAGACAACACAGATGGAGACAATTTTCATGAGTCTTCGGCCTTGATCTTCAAATATTTTAGAAAAAAGAAATGCATGTGAAGGTGATATTGATTTCTCATTGCAACTACATTGAAGTTCCAGGCGCCTTTCTTGCTCGTAAGGTTCGCCGCAGCGCACTGCGTCTCTCATCGGCCCGCCTCCTAACCTCAAGAAAGGCGTTTGAAGCCAATCGGAGACGCGGTCGGCTGAGGCAAGCTTCAAAAAAGTCAAAAACAGAGAAAAATACTTTTGCAGCCTTCTAGAAGGGAATAGATTTTAGGAAAAACTGCGAGATTGAAGATTTTTCGATGGCCATGAAGCCAGGGAAAATTAATAAATATATAGATATGAATGATTACATCGAGTGAAAATTATTGATCTATAACAGTTTACAGAAATCACAGAAATCTTTCTAAGCCTGAAAAACTGTCAAAAGACATAAAAATGACCGTCGGAGTTGAGATTGAAGAAAAGCTAAAGTGCTTCATGGGAACAGAAACAATCAAACAGATTTTTTGAAGATGAAAAAATTCGTATGTTGCAAGCTAGAGATGATAAAACGAATATCGATTTTGGAGACACGGTTCTTTTAATGGTTTTTGAGGAATTTTTTGGGCCTAAAGTGGAAAAAAAACCGTGAGAAATAGAAAAGGCGTAGGAGAATGGCCAGTTTAAGCAAAATCCCTCCTGATGACTTCAAAGCGTTTAGGATCTTTAAAAAAGCCCCATTAAAGTTTCTTGGAAATGAAAAGGGGAATAAATTGAAAAAAAGAGAAACATTGATTAATGATTTCGTAACGGCACTCCTTCAATATCTTGGCCAAACTATTCAGGAAAAGTCGGAATGGTGGATAATGGCCTCAAAAAGGCCGCAAAAAGGTAGCAAAAAGAATTCTCCATTTTTCCTGGGATTTTAAAGGCTCGAGAATTGGCGGAAAAAAGGAGCAAATTGGTGCAGAAGAGCCGAAGAAATGGCGCAGAAAGGCAGCAAGGAAGGAAAATTCCTATAGAGCCTCCTTCGACTCTTTCTTTATGTAGAAATCATGAACCAACCTAAAAAAAAACGTTGGAAAAAAAATTTAGGCCTAAAAATCAATCAAAACGCTTCGAAAGGGGAGGAGGACGGTGGGCGCCAGACGGCAGAGAGGCAGGAAACCGAAGTGCAATTTTCGCCTTTTTTTCTCTCCTTCTTGGCTCAGCTTACTCCGCCCATCACGGCAGCGGCGTCGGACCATTTTTTCGTCTTTTTCGAATCGGCCGCAGCACGCAGGAAATGTTTCTTTGACATTTTTTGCTGTGCCCTTCGCTTTGAAAAACATGGTAATTGGGTTTATCGGAGCAAAATAAAAGGATACATGAAAGCTTGCTGTCTCCGACCTAAGGTTCTCAAAATTCTTTACTGTTACGAAATATTTGGCCAATAAGCTCAGGCAAAGTCGGAAAATGTGGATAATGGCCGCTAAAAGGGAGATGCTCAAAAAAGGCAGCAAAAAAGCTGCGAAGATCATACTCCCTCAAACGTATGCCCATGAATTTATGAAATTTACAACCTTCTGAAAACTCACTTCAAAAATTTATTTTTTTTCAAGTAAAATTGCCTTCAAAGTTCAGTGATCACTTGTCAATTCGAAAAATTCAAAACGAAACTGCGCAGACGACGGATCCGGCGGGTTTATGTATAAGACTTTTTTTGTCGCATAAGTTCTAATGGAGAAGGCATTGTTCTAGGCAACGTCATGTATTCGCGCCAACCTACGCGTTCCTTCCAATCTTTTCAACTTTTCAAACTGTTTCGAAAAGAGAGTCTAGTGGGAAGAACCTTGAGCTTCAAATTTGAAGAAAAAGTAAGGTAACATAGCCCGTTTCAAAAACTCCCCACTAACACGGGAAATCATTTTTCTTTGTGGTTTGGATTTATCAACAAATTCGGTCAAAAACTCATTGAACTTCTAAATGAAAAACCCTCATAATCGCTACCTGCGAAAATTTTTGATTTTTGAGATATTCTTTTTTATAGTTCGCTTTTTCCACTGTTGAAACAGAGAATTTGTCCGCAAAAAAGGTCATTTTTTTTCGCGACTTGGAATTTTCTAAAAAATTGCTCGAAAAATTTTCGAAGGTTTATATGGAGATCTATCAAAATTGCAACCCGCGCCAGCTTTCACCTTTTGACATAACTGATCTTGAAAGTTGAAATGTTAGGCGTAAAATCATTAATTCGCAACTTTGAAAAAAATCATATCATAAAAACTAGAGGATTGCGCAGATAGCGACTATGAGGATTTTTTTATCTATACGTTTGTTCAATGTTTGAGCAAATTCGTAGACAATTCCAAACCTTCTTGTCCATGCTTTTTATGAAATCAACAAAAAAGAAGACGTCAAGAAAAAATATTTGAAAAATATGATTATAAACTATGAAAGTTTCTCATAATTCAGCCTAACAAAGGCAAATAACAATTAAAAAAAGTTTCAAAAGTCTCGATTTTTATTTTCGTACGCCCAAGTGACCATCAAACTGAAGCAAAGTCCAAAAAATCAACAAATTTCGAAGTAGATGGTTTTAGCACTGGGCAAAAACTGAAGAGCTCGCAACTAAAATGATGCAATTTTGGAGAAAGGTGGCATTCCGCCAAAATGTGACACTTGAAGTGCGTTTTTTTTTTTCACAAGAAAGGGTTCGAAAACGGTTCGTCGCGTCTTGATGAATCAACGTCGCTGGACCTTTTTTCGACTCCCAACAACCCCCATCAAACGCTGATTCACCTTATATCCAACATCGTCTAGTAATCATCCTTTTTTTTCTTACTCGCAATTTTTTACTTCGAAATTCTGTGTCTATTCAACCATTAACAAATCGCAAAGCCGGGCGTGATTAAATTTCTCCGTGCAGAGAACGTGAAAACGGACATATCTACTAACAATTATAAAAGGAGGCCAACAGTGACGCCAGAAGCCGCTTTTTTCCTTTGGAACCCGCCGGAATTCTTTTTTTTTTCGTCTATTTTTCTGTTCTTAGTACAAGGCGAATAAAAGAGCTTCACAAGGTTCGGGCAAAACGTAGAGAGTCCGAGACGAACGGCAGAGAAAATAATTTTTTTGTAGCTAACAAAGTTATCTTGTTAAATTGTGGAGGAAACCAGAAGAATCTTTTGCTTTTGAAACTTGCTGATGTTTTTTTTCATCAATTTGAAAAATGCTTTGGTGGTATAAAAATATGTTTTCTTTTTTCGTACTACTGGTTTTTTGCTCTCAAGCGATTGAGTTTTTCTTGTGAGAATGAGTTACTTCTTAGATATTTCAAACTTTTGCGAAATTTCAAGTCATTTGAGCCATTTTCAGAGAAGTTATGCTCGAAAAAAATCATTTTGAAATAATATGTTCAACAACTTTTAGCACAAGTTAGAAATGATCCAGAAGTAGTAAAAAAGAAAAACGGAAGAGGAATATCAGCCAGAAAATACAAAAAGTCCGCCGCGATGATTTTCTGTCAGAATATCCCTGCAAGAAGAAAACGATGACAAAAGGATTTCAGAGTCTGCAAATGGTCGTGAGCGTGAAGCGTGTATGCACCAATGTTGGCGGCGCCACTTTCAAAGGTATCCTCTGTTCTTTTTTCATGACTATATGTATAAACCGATAAAAAAACTCTCTGGAACTTCTTCTTATTCAATAATAAGTTTTATTTGCGTGAGTTTTATTTTTGGAAGCACTTGGTTTCATAATAAAATGTGCTGGATATCGAGTTCCGCAGTGATTTTAAGTCTACAGATTATTACTTTTTGATATTTATTTTGCAAACCAGCATATCTGTATTTCTCATATATGGACTTATTCATCAATTTTTTTCCATAAACTTAAGTTTATAGGGAGCAGAAAAGTTTCGAAGTTCTAATCAATTTAATGTGTTTAAAGTACCGTTGAACATAAAAAAGGCTATGAAAACGAAAAAGTTTTTTTTTGTGGTCAACTCCCAAAATCAAAGAAAAAGGATGAAAAAAAGGGAAAGTATCGATAAAAGACTTGAAAAAGTCACAAAGTCTGTTTTACTTAGCGGCATAATCTGAAGGATCATTGGATCGAGTACTCTCCTTTGAGTCGTTTACCGCCTTTTTTGCGTCTGCCGTGCAACATTTTGGGGTCGTCTGATTAGGGGTCCTCCAACTTTCGACGGCTTTCTTTGTACTCGAGTAGGTGCTCTGTCGCAAGTCTTAACCCTTCATACCATTTTGCAATGTTTCTCTTCTTTGCCCTATTATAATAACGGTACCAGATTTTTTCGGACCTTCACGGTTTTCTGATCTTTTTTCAAACTTTCCTGCTTTCTTAAATAATATTCGGTTAAAAAAGTCCGGCAGATGAAGTTCGCTACAAAAAACATAATCCACGAAAGTAGCATAATGAAGTCTTCTCGTTTAAAAACTAAAAAAAAATTTTGGAGCCAGTTTGCAATGATGGGTGTTGGTGTTTGCAGTCGCCGATCTCCTTTTAAACCATTTTTTTCGATCCATCGGGAAAATTCTCCTCATTTTTTTTGCTGTTGATTGCCTTTCTTATTTTTTAGGGTAGTACAAATATAATAATTTGGTGTTTATCAGTGATTTTTTTTCACAACTTCGTCATGAAAACTTCGCGAAACTTGATTGATGAAGACGGAAAATAAGAATCGCCGAAAAAGAATGAGACCCGCTAGTTTTTTTGTTGAGGAAGCTGACTTTTTATTAATTTCGTCTGAAGAGAACATTTATTTCTTGATCATGCACTTGAATTCCCCAAATCAAAAAAAAGTTTATTTGGAATCTAAAAAACAACGGAGTATTCGTTTCTTTTCCAAATTTCAACCAACTTATTTGGTCATAAGGTTTTGAGATAGATTTTTTCTTAGTTTTCTATCGCGTCGTACTACTTTTTTAAGTGAAAATAGACTTGTGTAACTTTGCAGGTAATTTTTCTTCGCATTCTCGTAGGAAAAAAAAAATCGGACAACGATTTTCGACGGGATTTTTTTCGACTATCATCAATACTCCTCGGAAGTGAGTTCTTCTTGGCTTTTGCTAATTGAAAATCCCTTTTGCAGACATCAGGGTCGAGCTAGTGATCTCATTGCTCAAAGCTTTGGGAGGGCGTTCAAAGTCGCCTTCGATGCGCTCCAAGACCGCGAGAGCTTCTTCAAAGACTCCGGAGCCAACAATCTCCGCGGAAGGAAAAAAGAACTGAGGGAAAAAGGACACGGTGGTGAGTTCTTTTAAATATTCTATATATCTTTTCACGTAGGAAAACTCTTTTCAATGCGTGCTGGATTAACTCATTTTTGCACGGCAAAGTCCATTTTTCAGCAAAGTTCAATTAATGAAGGATTTCCTTTTCAACTAAGTGATTCAAATTATACCTCGAAAACTATTTATTATTCCCCTCTCATCCAAAAGTATTCGAAGCAGGGGTGTTCTCGGTTCCACCACCCTTCGTAGTCGGTTACTCAAATATTGCTTTTTTCTCGCTTCTCGAACAGGGGGAAAATCATAAATAATAATATAAGTGAATCGCCGTAAAAATTGGATAGAGAACGAAAAAAACTTTTTTTTGCAGCGACGAACTTCAACGCAGTCAAAGTCGCCTTCGATGCGCGCCACGACCGTGTTATCGCGGTCGCGAGAGCTTCTTCAGAGACTCCGGAGCCAACAATCTCCGCGAAAAGAAGGAAGAAGAAAGGAAAAAAGTGGTGAGTTCCTTTAGATATTCTATACATGTTTTAACGTAGGAAAACTCGTTTTATTGCGTGTTGGAAGAATTGTTTCAGCCGAACTATTTTTTCACAACTTTTTCTTCTCTTCAACCTTCGATTTTTCATATTTTTTGGAGAAAGACGAGTTGATGAGAAAATCACTTCTATTTTCTTCGAAACGAAATTCGAATGCCGAGACAAGAGCGAAACCCCCATTTTTCGCGTTTTTCCAAGCAGCTGTTCTATCAATCAATAGAGTTTTCTAATGGGTAAGAATGTATGGTTGATGATCTAAACTGCTTCCTGTCGTTATGTAATATTTCAAAATACTCGAAAAAACAAAACTGCTTGTCGTCATGAAATATTTCAAAAACATTTTGAAAAAAAATGGGAAAGCACGCGGAAATGGAGCTCCTGCTCTGTACCAAAACTTGATCGAAAACGATTTCTTAATTTCAAACATTGTTTTTGTTTCAGACATGCTGGTAGGGATGGTGATAATCCACCTCTCGCGGAAACCTACTGCAAGTCGCCTCTCCGCGAGAAAGAGCGCGACAGCGACAAAGTGTCGCGGTCGTGTGAAGTGTCGCGGTCGCGTTTTTTGGATTTTCGGAAAAGCATAAGAGAGATGATGTTCACCAAAAACCCTTTTTCTTTCAGAGATTTTGGTCGAGATGGTGATCTTTCTCCTCGAGCGGAGAGAAAATTGGCCTTTATCGGCGGCTTTGGATCACTAGAAACACAGGTAAAATATCGAATTTTGATTGGAGAGCTAACGAAAGCATCAGGAAATGACAAATCTTGTTCCATCAGAAGATTTTTTGAAAATAACATGATTTTTTTTTCGCGCAACTTACAAGTTACAGACTCAATTTGTACGGCGAATGAATTTGTCTTGCGGCGGAAGCAACTCCTCGCTCATCCCGTTTTCCTATGGAGCAGAGAATCCAAAGTGAGCATTTCTTCAACTTCTTTCGACCATCAGTTATCGGAACCTCTCAAACGTGGATACAATGACAGTAGGATAATTAGATAAAAAGCTTTTTCCAATTTCAGATGTTGGTCGAGATGGTGATGTTTCACCTCTAAAGGTGCGAAGAAGGAGCTGTACGATGACTTCAGGACCCGAGAAGAAATTCAAGTAAGATATCGGATTTTCATCCATGTTAAAGTAAGAAACATGAAAAATCTCTTTTTTCTCACGAAGAACTTTTGAAAACCGCGCTGAATAGATTATTGTCCGTTATTCTTCTGAATATTTGGAAATTCAGTCAATTCGTACTCGTAATATCCGGCCGGTTGGACGGATTCGCCGGCAAGTGTCGACCGTCCGAAGCTCTGTGAAATGGCGATCATCAAGAAAAGCATCCAAAGCATCGGATTGAATGCTTTTCTTGATCATCTATTCGAAAGCCGATCAGAAGGACGAAATTTCACGTAGGAGTCAAAGATTTTTCGTAGTAATTTTTCTGATTTTAGGAATCATCGAGAAATCGGCTTTTTAAATATACAAATACGTCAACGATGTTGGTTGGGATGGGGATACTTCACCTAGAACGGCGCTCAAAATTGAGCGCCACTCATTCCGGAGCGAGCAAAAAAACAGGTAAAGATTGGAACATACATGAAACGGAAACAGAAATAGAATAATTCGAGTTTTTTCAGATATTTTTGTTGGGATAGTGATGGTCCACCTCGACGGGTGACAAAAATGAAACGCCATCTTTTCCGGTTGCTTCACAACGCGTCAAAAAACGCAGGTTATTTTTTAATTTTCGTCGAGCTCGGTAAGAGAAAAACAAAGAGTTAGTGATGAAACTTTCGATTTCGTAAAAATTTTTCCGTTTTTCATCAGAGCTTGGAAAAAAATAGGCTGAAGTTCTGTATCGGAACTTTTGGATGGGCTCGAAAGTTCATTTCTGAAGTATATATAAATATTTTTTTATTTTCTTAGCGGCATAATCAAAAGAACTGTAATGAGTACCCTCCTTTTTGAGCAGTTTAGCGTCTGTGTCTCGTCTGCCGTGCAACATTTTGGGGTCGTCTGATTAGGGGTCCTCGAACTCTCAACGGCATTCTTTGTAGTCGAGTAGGCATTCTGTCGCAATTCCATATTACCATTTTTGCTTCCCACTGAAGGAGAAACGCTTTTGTTCTTCGAGTGAGTCTTTAATATTTATTTCTTTAAACTCAGATTGTTTCGGAGTCAATACTTTAATTTTCAGGATGAACAACCGACTCTTCCACGACATGTCGCAGAAAAGAAGACCATTTCGAGTTTGAGAAGTGACAACATTATTTAACATCCCTCCAGTTGCTGATCTTCGTGACGGTAAATGTTTGTGAACCCATCGGTCAACATTTCAAATCTTTGTCCCTTTACCGACAATACATAAAAGTTAATTCATTGTCCCCGTAATTTTATACTCATATATTTGTTCTTAGCGAATGCTCCAATCTATAGTTTATATTCACTATTAACTCATTATCTTGGTCTCTGAAATGTACGCCATTTATCGGAAAACTTGAAACTTGTTTAATGTTATTTTGATGAAAAAATCTTATTGTGTCATTGATTATCAATTTTTCTTTCTTTTTTCTTTGTTTTTCTTTGCATCAGATGATAAACATGATTGCTGTATTCTGTCTTGAAGGAAAATGAGCATTGAGATGACGGAACGGAGAATATTGTTTTTTTTATTAGCGGCACAATCAGAAAAATTGAATCGCTTACCCTCCTTTTGAGAAGTTTACCGTCTGTTTCACGTCTGCCGCGGAACATTCTGAGATCGTCTGATTAGGGGTCCTCCAACTCTTGACCTCATTCTTATAGTAAAGTAGATGCTTATTCGAGTATTTTCTGCAGTACAAAAAAATTTATTTGTGAAGAGTTTCTCCACCTTCGCGCCGTAAAAAACAAGGTTCTTGTTATCCTCTGTCCAATGGGGCGCACATTCCCTTACTAAAGCGTTAAGAAGCTCGTCAGAACCTTTTTTCTTTTGAAATTTCATAAGAAATACAATCCATTTTCCGCATATTGAACTTCAACAATTATTACATCGTACGCGGATTTTGGGATGAATTGAATACTGCCAAAAGATAGTTGAATATGTCTAATTAAAAAATCAAAAAAATTTACTTTTTTTCTACTCATTATTGGTCGGTGGCAGATGTAATATTCATGGAAAAAACAATTATCGATCATTTTAATGTCCATAGTAATGATTTAAGGACGAATACCTAAAAGAGCCACCATTTTAAAAATAATTTCTATCAAGTAATTGTTCAGAACGAATGATTATCAGTTGTTTCTTGATCTCAACTCCCTTGCTATATAGTTTTTTGTATCTTTTGGGGCTAGAATGAAAAACAAGTGTATATTTATGGATAAAATTGGGAATATATCTTTCCGCCTTTTCTTTCGAATACTGCGCTTTTTTTCATCAAAATATTTTTTCATTTGTTGAGCTTTTTTCCAAGAACTATGAACTGGATTTTAATCTCTTTTTGATGTGTTTTTTGGTTTCGTGAAAAAAAAAATCGTCTTCATGCAAATTTCTGAAAAAATTTGATCCATTTTGTGTTTTTAGTGTTTGGCGCTCGTTTAACCGGACATGACGTTCAAAGAATTTACCGAGTGAAAAAAATGAAAGAACTGTTGGAAAATAGATCGAAGAAATGGGATATTTTTTGCAAAGTAGTTTTATACAAATTGAAAAAAAATAGATGAGGTTGAAGAGTCAAAACTAAAAAAAGGTTCAGAAAAGATTGGGAAAAAATGAACAAAGTTTAAAACAAAAATTGGACGAAATTTGAAACATGAATTGAAATTGCTGATCGCTGATTCGTGAAGCGGAAAAAAAACTTCCATTGGCGTCGTCGTGCTTATCGATTTGAAAAACGCGAGATTTTCAGCCTGAAATTATTTCTCCAGTTATTCTTGATAAGGTCCAACTATTAGAGAGTCTTAGAGATTAATCATTTTTGGTGGTACGAAATAAAAATCAGCAAATTTTCGAACGGCGACTTTTGCAATTTTTTCACATCTTTAGGGAACTTTCCGACTGCGACGTTTCCGACTAAACCTTTTCCGACTTTATCCCTCATTTTTTCGGTTTTTGAAAGATCCTCAACTATTTTTTTTTCCTACTGACTTGTGTTTTAAACATGAATCAAACTACCTATTTTGTGTAGAAGGCAGACATAAAACTAAGTGTTCATGAAAAAAAAAAGTCGAAAAAGAGCAAGTCGGAAACTTCGCCGTCGGAAAGTTCCTTAGAGATGTAAAAAAATCGGAAAAGTCGCCATTCTAAACTTCGCTGATTTTTTTTTATTTACTCATTTTCTTTCTCATGAGTTACGATTGTAAACGGTTCAAAAAAGATTTCAAGAAACATAATGTAAAAAAGCTTACCTAAATAAAAAAATGTACTTGCAGGTCGTTGGCCAGCCGCTTTATCAGTTCAAAAAGCTCACAGCTTGTCCCGTTCCAAGGTCTTATCCATCGTTTCCCTTCTCCAACGATTAATTGTTATCTCTCCTGAAACCTATTATTGGATTTGTTTCAAAAGTATTTCTTACCGCATTTATGCCGGAGTCTGGATTCTGTTAATTTTTTTTTGTTTATTTTTTCTTTAGAAGACGGCTTCATTTTTCCTTCCGCACCTGCAGCTCTTCTCGGCTTTGGACCTCTTTTCTTCGGAGCTCTCCTCAACGCGCACTTCTCTGTATTCTGCTAGCTTGGGACTTCTTCCAGCCCGTTTGCGTTCACATTTCCTGAATGAAAAACTTGAATGTATTATTATCACGGCATTCCTAATGGGGTGAGGAAAGGTGAGCGAGGCGTCAAAGTTTCTGAATGAAAAACTTGAATGTATTATTATCACGGCATTCCTAATGGGGTGAGGAAAGGTGAGCGAGGCGTCAAAGTTTCTGAATTAAAAAAAATACTAAGTGCGCGCTTTGGATAAAAGGACTGACGTCACAGCTACCTATAACTTTAAATTAAACTGAGTATTCAACGACATAAAGGATACATTTGGCTGTGTACTTGAGATTTTTGACGTCTCCCCACCCCGTTTGGGAACGCCGTGCCCTGCCTGTCCTATAAAGAACATTTGTAATTTTGATCGAAAAATGCCTTTTTTCCATGTAACCATGTCGGAAAAGATACCTGTCTCTTCGCGTTGGCACTGGACCTTGGAGGAAGGACCTGAAAATTTCGTTTAACACGCATTCTCCCAGAAAATCGAACAAATGCGAAAAAGTTTGGTACAAAAATTTCATCTTTGTTCCTCAGAGCTCTCCTTGCTATCATAGATAGTGAACAACCTCTTGAATATTTAGAACCAGGTTTTATAAGGCTCCGCCCACTTTTTAGGCTCACTGTAGAAAAAAACACCGTAAAAAAACCAAACTTTTTTTCCTAGTTTAGCAAATTGGTCCAAACTAATTTTAAAAACAAAATATGTTTTCTTTTGACCATTTATGGCTATAGAACTAACCCGGAAAAATTTTTCTTTCAGAAGAAAAAAATTCAGTTTTTTTGAAAAACGACGAATTTCGCAGTCTTTGAGTAATAACTAGTACTAGAACCCCCGAATGCCTGGATTTTTATTTTTTCAATCGACGCGTTAGGGTCTTGTGAGTAGAGGAAAAATGCCTAGAAACTCTGAATCCGGGTGATCCAGTTGACTTCCATCTCGGAGAACGCGGTCAACTTGAAAATAACTAAATTTTTGAAAACCAGTTACTTTCTTGGGAGTAGGACTATAGTTAGGAGGCGCAAAGCCCCTCCCCTTCACGCCACCAAAATGACGATTTTTCTGTTGCAAAAACGGTTTTGTGGCGTTTCTACAAGCTAAAGTTCCACTTTAAAAATAAACTGTTTCTGTTAACCTATGTAATCGACAACGCTCTACAAGACTGAATATTTTTTTAAAAACTATGTATTTCTCAAAAAAATAAGCGAAAAAGTAAGATTTAACACAAAAAAAACTGACAAGTTTCACAGAATCGTCGCGTTTCAGAAAATTCTTTCAGACCTTTTTTTTTCTAAGTAGTTTTTTGTTATTTTATCAAAAATTCGTATGAGGATTGTACAAAAGATTCATACCAAAACATGAAGCTCAGTTTGAAAAATCTCTCAGAACAGAAAACCAATTTGAAAACGGTTCAGAAATGCGAAAAAACATTTTAAAAAAAAAGCTTGCGGCAGCGGGTAAACCGTGAGATTTCGCCTCCAGTTGAACGCCGTGCGTGCTTTTTTTTTTCGCCATAACTTTTTTCTTGGTGCACCTTTTTTCAAAAACTAAACGAATTATAAAAATTGACAATCTCCTCTA